GGAGCAAAGATATGTAAATAAATAAAAATAAAAAGTCCAAAACCCTCAAAATTTTAAAATGTTCTCCCATACAACCCTGGGTTCAAAGGTGAGATTGAAACTGTAAAAATAACTTTACAATTAAACTAGAAGGAAAGGTTTTTAAAATAATCAAAAAAATACCCTAAGTAAAAAGAAATTAGACACAGAAGAAAAAAAATTAGCTAGAAAGTAAGCAATAGAATTGTTTAGATAAATAAATAAATAGATGCATCTAATAAATACATCCAAGAAGGCCCTGACACAAACCTCTGAAGTCAGACAAAGATCTTCCACTCAAAAATGCCCCAAGCCCAGGTCGCTTCCCAGGCAAATGTCTCCAGACACCCATCACTTCCCATGCCACTCAGACAACTCCAAAGTACTGGAAAAGGATGAAAAGCTTGTCAAATCATTTTAGAAATCTAGCAGAGCCCTGATATCAAACTTGACAAAGTACAAGAGAAGAAAAAACGTTGATATTACAGTGAAACCTGTAAGGGCTGGAACTCAATGAGACTGCCTTGTTCCTCTGGGTCTCGCAAGTTTTCTGCCTTTGACAGGGTGCAGCCTTACCACTTTTCTGTTGCTGCTTTTAGTGGAAAATATTTGAGTTTTCCTTCTCTGACAGGTTTCCGCCTCACAGTATAAAATCTATGTAGTAGTAGTAGCATCGTAAGAACCCATCTAACTTTAGGGGGGATGAAGTGAATCAAGATCAGCTTGAGGCTGATCCTTATGAGGGGGAGGTCAGACATACCTCCACCACTCTTCAACCTTTCACCAATTCTGACACCAGCTGTCCTTCTCTGGGCACTCTCTGCAGGGTTCGAGAATCCACTGCAATAGTCACACAAAACTCACAGACCACACTCACAGTTAAGTGGTTTACTAAAGAACAAGGCACAATTCGGAAACAGGACTGACAGGCTACAACTCAGGATCAGGACCAGGAAGCAAGTATGAAAAGTCTCCCTTCTTCAGTGCAGGACAGCTCTCTCAGCTCCTCTCGGCTATGCAGGCCTCCTCTAGCCACCCTCCCCACCCCACCCCACCCCCATGACAAGCTCCTCTTGGCCCCCCAACGACAGGCTCCTCTCAGCCCTGCCATGACAGGCTCCTCTCAGCCCTGCTGTCACCGCTGGC